TTGGCGCTGTGGCGTTTAATGAGTTAACAACCATTTCTTTTACAGTGAGACAGGCAGCCCCAGTCTTTTCCTGTAAGTCTGCTACATCTAAACAGAGGCTTTTATCGCAGCGTGGCGCTGAAGTCTGACTACAACCAATTACCCAGTTATAACACAACCGCAGCACGGCAGCCCGCTCTGCTTCCTTTTTTTTGTTTCTTCTTCCTTCTTCTTCTCCTCTCTGCTCCCGTTAGCGGGTAGCATCCTAACCTTGCGATGTTGAAACGCTTAGAGGATAGAGACTGAGTGAGTGCACAATACATTAAACAATGAATGTGAAACATTTTCTCCAAGGTGAGAGCTGACATTTTGCTTGGTTCTCCAATTTTTTTTTTATCTATTCATTTTTTTAGATTTTTGCTGGTTAAGCTCATCGAAAGCCGTAAACCTTCAGAGTTTTTTTTCTGCATAAATGTTTTTTTTTTTCCTTCTTCTTCTCCTTCAGTTTTCATCTGGTTCGGTTGATGTCATGTTGTGGCCTGAAGGACATATCTGTCCAAAGACAGGTGTCCTGACCTTCTGCCTGCGCTGCCACGCCTCAGGGGACCTCTGTGAAATAGAGGCTACGGCTTTGACCCACTCTCTCATCCACTGCTCACGTCTAAACGGAGTCATGCTGCAGATGCAATGAATCATAACACGAGGAGCTGGGGCGGGGAGGAAGTAATGCATTTATGCATTTAGCTTTAGTTTAAAAAACAACCTGAGTGGTTTTGGTTTGTTTGTTTGTTTGTTTGTTTGTTTCTCTGGAATATTTTATCTCACGATTTCCTTCCAGGTCCCAAACGGAATATAAAATCTCTCTCTATGTTGGCCAGTTTGCTTTAAATCTTCCTCTCTCCAGCGCTACAGCAGCATTTCAGATGGCCACTCTTTTGTGCCCAGTGGCCGTAGCACAATTGCATTATTCAAAGGCGCAGATGAAAGCCGCTTCTTATTCACCAAAAATATACATCCTTTGCGGTACTATGATGAGTACCGCAAAGGATTTAATTTCTTTTGACGGTACTTTTCTGGCTGCTGGCTTCTCACCAGGCCTCTCAGCTACAATGCCGACACTGAATCAGTCGTTCCTGCTGCTCCGTGCGACAAAATCTCTGTTTTGCCAGAGCTTGATCACGTTAATTCTCATCTGAAATCATTCCAGCGTATTCTGCGCTAACTGCGACAAAGACTTTTTTTTATATATATATAACTGCCTTTACTCTGTTTTCAGAAATCAATCTGCGAACTGGAGCGATCTCAAAACATTTTATTAAAGCCTTTGTTGCACTCTTAGCCAAGGAAATCACAATGAAACACTGCGCCGCACAGTGTGCTCTCGCCAATCACCACGTACTAAATTGGTAATTGAGCCGAGATTATAAAAAGGAACATTGATTCCAAAGAGCCTTGAGGACGAGCTGGAAGAGGAAAAGTTGAGCTGCATTTTTCGTTTTTCATATTTTATGTAATGGATCGATCTGAAATGACAGATTTAATGAAATGAAAAAGAAAATAGATGATTTCTGTGATATCTTTTAACATGCATCCAAAAATGTGTTCCATGTTCGCACTAATACAAGAAAACATCCCCAGAGCAAGACGCCGCCACCACCGTGTTTCATCATCAGACGACTTAAAAACTGAAAGCAAGATCTTAAAATCAGTTTTCAGGTGTGCCATAATCCCCTCTTCCTTTTCAGATTAGGGGCTGGACCAATTTCCATGAAAGGTTTAAAGAGTTTTGTAGCTTTTAGACCATTTTGCACCATCCCTGGCCTTCCTGCTGTGTTTTTCGGTCTCCATGATGCCGGTTGGTCCCTTCTGTTCTCCAACAAACCTCAGCGAACTTCACAGAACGTCTGCGGCTACAACGGCATTAAGCTGCACCCACGTTGACTCTGTTGGCTAATTGGGTGACTTCTGAAGGCAATTGATTTCTCTGGATCTTGTTGTATTTTTTTACGGGACAAATCTAAGCTGCATATAAATGCAAGCTACACGTAATGTGTCGTTTTTGTTGGATTCGGTCTCTTTCATAAGAGGTTTTGTAGGGTCTACACCCAGCAACAACCTGGATTTCCATCATTAACAACATTCATCATACAGAAGAAATCATTGAAACGTGATAGATTTGAAATACGTAGCAATAAGAATCAATTATAGTTCATGCAAATGTTGATGAATGTTGAAAATATTCAGTAATTAAACATTTCAGCTCCTAAAATCCCCTTCTGACTTCTGTTCAGCTGTTATGGGAGTTAATGGTCAAGTGTTCTGTTCTTTCATTGCTCTGCAAGTAAAAAGTGAATTTGAGACAATAATTTGTTTGCCTAAAGATTTTGAAAATGTCTTAACTGGATTGTATGGCGACATGCACATACTAATTTTAAATTGTTCTTGAACTGAGAAAAGAAGAAACATTTTGAATTTTAAAATTTAGTAGTAGAACGGTATTGAAGCTGTAGGGTTTTAGCCAGTCAAAACCTCGCTTGCTTGGCCGGGCTGCCACGCCGGCAGCTTTGCACACTACGTGTCATTGCCACACTACGTGTCATTGCCTTTTGAATCTTGATGCGGATGTCAGCGACGGCGCCTTGCTCTGGTGTGTTTTTAGGCAAAAGCTGCACAAATTGACATGCAGCGCATTTCCTCCTGGAGCGGTCTGGGCCCCGGCAGGTTGTCAGTGGAAAGGCGCTACATCCAGGCGATCTCAGGTTCTCCACCTTCTCTTTGCACTTGTGCCGATAATCACCCACTTGCATGACGGCGCGCGAGGAGGCTCCGTCGATATGCACGCGTGTTTGCACACATTCCTACTCGAGCGTCACGATGTACATTTGTGCCTCCGTCACCCCGCCTGTTGGCGTGTGTGTGTTTCATGGGGAACATTCTCTTCTTGAAACACTAAGCAAATCTCTTCAATGTGATAATTGGCTCCCTGGGGTGCTTGTATCTTTGCTGCTCATCATCGTTATCCCCTGAAGGAAAAAACAAGAGTGTTTGAGAGATGAGATGGGCGAAGTTTGCACAGATGTCTGGGAAATGCATTCTAACTCGAGCTTGCGAGGAAAAACTTGGGAGGCAACATGGTGGGCCTGCTCTTGTGCAAGCAGGTCTGCTGAACGCCGTCTGCTGCCATCAGGGAGACAAGTGCTTGTATTCTGACAGTTTAGGTCGATGAATGATTTCTGGGGCTGGTTTTATACCCCAATCCACTGTAGGAGACGGTGGTCCTCCCATTTTAAACTCCTTTACTGTTCATATGTTTGGAGATGACTTTATTAGAGTTTTTGCAGGTTGTGCTGTTAATGTTATTTAGTTAAATGAAGTATGAACTTCCTCTTTGAATTGTCCCTGGTGACTGCTGGAATAAAACTCTTAAGATCAGATGCAGTCTTTGTGCAGACATGCAAGCCAAGCCGCAATGTATTTTCTAAGACAAATTGAAACAACTGGTTTACAGGAATGGTGCATCAGTAAGTGATTTCAAGAGCGTGTGTGTTGTAGTCATAGATTTTATGTCTGCAGGGTTGAGCTTCATCCCATGCTTCCTCACTTCGTATGTGTGATCGAACTGTTTGTGAAAACAGTTCCCAACTTGGGACGTTGCAGCGTTTACTAAAGTGAAACCAGGGACATTGTTCTCTTTGAAGGGAAAATGAAGAGCAGCCATCAGTTTAGAATAATTAGGTCTAAGCAGCTGTTTGACGCCTGGAATGCTTTACTGGTTTGGATATTTCTGCTGCGCCACATAGACGACAGAAGTTGGTGGTTTGTGGTGCTGACACCTGAGCTGTGTGAAAAGCAGACCGTTTTTGTTTTTTTTTATGCTTCAAGGCAAATAGAGATGCTCATCTCGCCAACAGTGTCTCTCCTGCGTCCGTAGACTTTCCCGTCCATATGTTCTCCCGGTCCCCCGGGTATAACGGACCATGGAGCAGATTGTTGGCCGCTTCATAGGGGAAACAGAGAGACAGCTGGTCACCCATCACACGGCCAAACAGATGTTCAGGTGACTCGGAGAGGAAGTGAATGGTAATGGCAGTGGGTGGGAGGTGATGCGAAAGACGGAGAGTGTTGATGGAAGCAGAAAAAATGAATTAATACAGCGATGCAAGGACTCGGAGGCTTCATTAGCAATCCCCCCGTCAGCCTGCAAGGCGGGCCAAATGCTTTCCACCCTCCCACGGCCTACGACGTCGGTTTTGCCTGGCATGTGGATTCGCATACTATCTTCTCTGAGGTCGAATGCCTTTGATCTCTTGATTATTTCTTTGCCTAAACATGAACTGGATGGCTGAGCGGCGCATTGATTCAGCGCCTTAATTCCGACCCACCTTAGGGAACATTCAGAAGCTGAAACGGAATCCGGCCCTGCAACCAGGCAGTGAAATGCTACCAGGCTGTGGCAGAAACTAAAAATGGAAACGCGCGAGCGGTTTTCACAGCCCCCGTGGCTTCGGGTCAGGTTTGATTAAGTCAGAGGCGCACATCTGACACACATCTATGTGATGCAAAAGCTACATTTTTTGGCAAAGTCTTCCCTCCCTACTGTTAGTGAGACCCATTTATCAAATTAAGCTCAATGAAAGTTCTTCTATCTCTGATCCAAGACCTCCTGCACAAGCCCTTCTCTATTTTCCTCTGCCAAGCCTTGTTCTTTGGTTACAGGTCTCATATATAATACATGAGGATTGGGAGACTTATCCCATTCGGTCCATACTGGCTCCTATTCCCAAGAAAGGGGCTATATTTAAGAGCTGGAGAGGCCAGAGGTTTGATTCAGTGGAGATGCTGACTTCTGCCTAAAAATGTGGCAGTGTTTCAACAAAGTCCTGAGACAGAAATGAACACACTTGCATTTAATACTTCTATAGATCTAACCTTCTTTTTTCATTGTTGGTTGATTTAAAAAGCCTTAGCAATGTTTTGTGAATTAAAAACATCTTTGTTTTTCTTGTCTTTTGCTACAATAGCTGGCACCACCTACATCTTTGGCAAAGGAGGAGGCCTGATCACCTACACATGGCCCAACAACGAGAGGCCGAGCACGCGGACGGACCGGCTGGCGGTGGGCTTCAGCACCACCATCAGGGACGCCATCCTTGTTCGCATCGACAGTGCCCCACGCCTGGGCGACTACATCATGCTCCACATTGTATGTATCATTCTTATCTTTTTGTAGTTTCCGTGCGTTTTTTGTGTTTGCGCTATTTTTAAGCCTTTATACAATATTCATATTGGCCAATAGGTGGGATTTAGACACCCTTAAGTCAGCAATTGGTTGACTTGAGGCCCCTCATGATCGGACCAAAGTCGAATTGTCGAGGTGCGGTCACGTGGTTTTCGGATCTTTGTTTTTGCACAAACAAGACACTGAGCAGAATCCCCAGTGTACGTCAAGGTGTTTTGCCGTATGTGTGGTTTACTTCAGTACAGTAAACACGCCGCTCATGACGGAAAGGAACAACTATTACGAGCTCACAAGGAGGAAATAAAAGCTGGAAAATTCTCTTTTATTTTCCATGTTATCAGAAAATTAGAATGAAAAACCTCAGTGAGACGTTCTGCCGCTGCATTGGATCAGAACCGAGCATGAAGGCTTTAATGTTTCAGCACGTTTTTCCTCACAGGCTCGAACGATTGCTCCTCAAAACTGTCCATCCTACTCTATGGCTGAAAAACCGACATCAGGAAGTTGAGTATTTGGGGTCGTTTTCCACAAAAACAAACACCCACAAAAATCAGACCAATCACACAAAACCTTCTCATGCAGAACAGGGCGAAAAGTTCATCAGGGGAGTTTTAGGTGCTGATGACGCGAGGCTGGCAACAAAATGGCGCGACTTTCTTTACGCAAGTGAGACAATGAGCACCGATTTCTCCCCAACACATAGTGGGAGATCAATACACATTAATACGAGAAGGTTGACAGATTCGATACGTTTAGGAGTCCAAAGTTGAAGCCTTGTAATGTAACAAGATGTAAAAACAAAAACAAAAAAGTCACGGAGTTTGAATGCACCGTATGTCGCGCACAGACACTCAAAACAAGTCAAATTTAACAAACAGGCTTGCATGATTTAAATTCTCATGGAAGGCCTCAGGGCAAACACAGCCTGCGTTTCTCAAGCTGATCTATGATTAAGATGCTAAGAGAAAGAAAAGTACTGTACTCTCTCACCACCACCCCACCTTCCCTATAATCCCACTTCTCCAGCGCATTCAAACCAACTCTCAGCATGAATAATTAATGCGAGTCTCCATATATATGGACTCTTCTACCTCACGTTGGAGAAACTCGACGGAAAACTCACGAAGGAGTTCACGGCCGGCAGACCGGGCAGACCCGGGCACAGCATCTTAATAACCTCTCGTCACGACTCGACTCGCGCGTGTAAGCATCAGCTGTTAACATAACAATCAACTCCAGCCGGGGCGTCAAAATCGCTGCCGTGGCGGTACAACAGGGTGGCGTTCGCTGGAGGAAAGTCACTGCCGACGGGGAAAAAAGATGACGTGATGACGGGGCTGGGGTGCTACAGTTGCTAAAGCAGACTGAAAGTCTTTTTTCTTTTTTTTCTTAAAGAGCACTCGGCGTCTCCTGAGTGCGAGCCATGTGGCGCAGAAAAGCAGCCATCTGCTCTGCAGAGATGAAGGCCAACAGCAAGAAAGTTCTGAGCCTGCTTTACAGTGCAGAACAGAAAGAAGAGGGGGAAAAAGAGAAGTGTATGGACGTGTGTGGGCTTGCGTGTATGATTGGGTGGAAAAAGGAAGTGAAGTGGCGTGGATGTAGGGAAAAGCGATAAAGATGTACAGTAAATTGTGTGGGTGATGTGGGAAAACGCCGCCCGACGTGGTTCTACCTGAACGGATAATTGGAGTAACCTCCTAAGGAAGTGAAATGACTGCATTTTTAATCCCGCATTTGAGATAGTATAGCAGAGCTAGCCAAGCATAATATCTCCTGTAAATTGGCTTCAATTCATTAGATATGGAACGTCTTCATTCACCCACTCTAGTAAATGTATTAATAGCAAAGAGGCATATGGTGATTTCACAAGCTAGGCGTGAACTTGGCTTCTTTTTGCAGTGTGAGCAGTGTTATACTGCTGGTATTTTAAAATGAGTTATTTATTGACATCCGAGGATGGGTAAACCAAGACAGGGGCTTTGATTTAATTTCAACAGTGATTGTTGAATCAAGTGGCCAAAGCCCGGTGCTCTATGCTTCCTTTATTCTGCAATTGAAATTAAATGAGGGAGGCCGATTTTGTATTTTATTTTATTTTTTCACACTGGTATTAAGTTGCATTGAACCTTGGTGTGAATATTTAGCTTTGAATATTTTAGAGGGAAACCCTCTCTACCTCCTGTCATTTCTCCTGAAACACAGGAAAGAGGAAACGATGGCAACGTTCCGAGAATGGCGTAAGTCGCTCCTAAAACATTTTTATACAGAGACTGCTTTACAATCAGACTATAATAAACTGCAATGTTGTCATCGTTCCTAACGGCACACATTCGGTCCTCGCTCTCGGCGGCGTGAGCTCCGTGATGAATCCCAGGCGAAAGGTTAAAGGCATTACGCCTGCCGATTGAGGACGTACGTCCAACCAAAGGTCTCGTCACTCTCTGGGCTATCACCTTAACTGTTACAATCATTGGGTCGTCTTTGATAGCTGAGCGTGTGGCAGGGACATGTCAACAGGAAAAAAAATAGAAAACACCTCAAGCATATTTGTAGATAACAGTGGATTATCGGGGCATACACGGCACTTTGTTTAACATGCAAAGCCCTTAGCTGTGAAGAAAAGAAAAACAGAATTCCGAGGGATGAGCTAATCACAGACTCTCTCGCTCTCTCTCCAGCCTCCCTCGCTCTTTCTTTTGCTTCCCTCATTATCTCTTCCCCGTGATTAGCTTACAGCTTGTTTGGCAATCACAAATTAAAATGCTGATTGTAGTGTTTGCATTTTAACTGCTAAGAACAACTGCACGCTTGGGTTGAAATCGCGGGGGCAATTTGCGAAGGTGAGCGGGACATTTTGCCCCTGCTGGCATCTTATTTGCGAGTTCAGTTGATCTGAATGTGGAGCGTGCAACGGATAAAGGACTTTGTCAGCTTCTAAGGGGGGGAGGAAAAAAAAGCTGCCCTGAAGAAAATGCAAAGATGAAACCCTGAACAATGTTTTTGCTTGAGACCACTTTTGCTTTCATTTTGTGATGCCTCGCTGCCCAGGGCGCCATTCCACCAGAGTACGGCATGACAACTTAGGAAAAAAAAAGACTTGACTTAGAAACAAAAAGAAAATTAATGAGACATGAGTTCCAGACCATGTTTAAGTCAAGTTGGAGTCACTAGTTGCAACCATAGCACTAATCCGACCAACCATTTAAAGGACAATGAGCAGATTGTTTAAATTGTTTTTGCCGAGCATTTCTCACATGGTGTGCTTTGGACTGTGAATACTGACTGAAAATATGTTTCAAAGTTGGCTGGCAAATAATGTTCAAAACTAAGGATGTTCACAGTTCTTGTAATCATTTGGAACCTCTGCCATGCTTCACAAATATGATGGGAAAATGAAGGCACTTGTGTATATGCAATGTTTTCTCTTATTGACTGAAGTCATCCATACAACCTCTCCTTGCACCATCACATTTAAATTGATAGAATGGAGCGCTGTAGATTGTTAATGGCTGGCGTAGCTAATAGTGATTAGCATTGCTGAAAAGCTAGCTTCCCACTAGCAAAAGGAGCTGACAGGTCTGATCTGTTATTTCTCTCAGCTGCACATAGAGCTATCGGTTTTCTATAACGTAATTTAAACTTCAAAGAACTTTCACGTTTGTACACAGTCTGTTCTGATTTCAGCTGGGACGTCTGTGGGTATAATTTAGATGTCGCCGAAATGTATTTTAAACTAAGATTGCTCAGCGGGACGCCTCGTTCCCTCACCTTCAGTCACGCTCAAAAAAACACGACGATCAGCCCGGGCTCTTTACTTTCTAATCGGGCTCGCCCACGCCGAATCTCATTATCCATTTGAGGTTGTTCTCCCAAACCCTCTCGCGCTAATTCTCCGCTAGAAAGGTGCGACCGCCGGATAATTGAAAACCTTCACACAGAAATGGAAAAAACGAGACGGCGAACGAGCCGAGGCGGCGTGCCGCGACGCGTGGCACATGCACGTCTGCACACGTGCGAAACTGTACGTGGGGTTTAATGAATTGTTGTGGAAGCTTGCTTGTTTTTCCTCGTTCCTGTCAGGATCCATCCATCACCGGGCCGTCTCTGTCACTGTGTTTATGTCAAGCGGTGTCTGTTTCCCCATCTGGCTCCCCTCCCTGCCCTTCTCCTCCTGACAGACCTAATATAAGATGTTTGATGTGTACCTGTGTGCATCAGTGTGTATATGGCCAGCGATGTATTGCTTCTATCAAGTTACCCCACCCTCTGCAAGAGAAAGATAGATATCATCATGGCCTCTGATAACATTACAGCTTTTGTATTATTTATTTTTTTTTTCTTCTTTTGTTTTGTTGTTCCTTACCTCGCTCATTTGATTCTGCCGTCATAGATATAAGTAACTGGGAGAAAATGTCTCCCATTTGCAGTACATTCATTCAGCATTTATAGCTGAACAACTGATTCATTTTCATCTCTGCAACATGAAGATTTGGACATTTGTGTCAGCAAATAAGCTGTGGATTTCAAAGTGTAACAGACAGACCGCTGTTAATTTCCCAAATATTTTTAAACATTTACACCTTTAATATCAATGAATGTGTAATTTGACTCAAATACAAATTACACAGTAATTTAAATGGAAAAATTAAGAGAAAGTGCAATTACTTGGTTGCAAAAGCATTGATACTTTTAAATTGGAACAACTTTTAGGTCAAGTTTAGTTGTCTTTGTCTCTCAGCAACCAACATCTCGACTTGTTGATATTTGTTCACTCCGCATTACAAAACCTTTTGGTCTGTCAGATTTTGAGGAGCCATCTTGTCCAAAATCCTTTTTCAGGAGACCAAAACTCTACCTAATTAAGATATTCTCTTGTTTCTTGATTGGTCTGGAATGTTTTGTAACCTTTTCTGATTTTAGGTTGTCTTTAAAATAGTAATTGCTCAAACATAGCTCAAAGCAAT